TGATCATCCTTGATATAAGCAATACGGTGAATGCTTTTTGTTTTGAAATAAGTTCACACACACACACAGCGTAGTCCATTTTAAGTTATACATTGCCCCTGGAGGATACTGACATTATCATATTACGCTTGTAATAAATATTTTTTGCAGATATCGTAGACGGCGCTATTCTACGTCCTGGCAGACTGGATAAAGTACTTTTCGTCGATTTTCCAGATGTTGCTGAGAAGGAAGATATTCTACGTAAAATAACAAATAATGGCACACGCCCGCGCTTGTCCACTGATTTCTCATACATAAGCGTTGCTTCACATCCAGCTGTTAATTGGTTCACGTATGTTAATTATAGATTTTACGCGCCTCGAGGTATTAGCGCGAGTCTTTTTTGACCTAAAACAGAAAGCAGTGGAAAAAAAGTAGTGCAGTCGCTGAAAGTACAGTTTGCTTTAGCACTGATGCTTTGTGTTTTGCTAATGAATTAGTACCGGTACTTCAAAACCACAGTCATTTTGATCCTAAGCAGCCGCCAGAATTGCTGACGGGAGGTTGCTTGTACCAGTTGGGGCGTCTCCGTGTGCTCCAGCTCCTTCAAAGGTTGCAGTGTGAGTTGTTACGTTGCTCACGTGCTTACATACTTACAGAGGCGCCGATCTCGCAGCACTTGTGCGTGAAGCTGGTATTATTGCACTGAAGGAATGTATATGCAGCGGCCAGGCAGTTGCCAGTACTGTTACAATGAAACATTTTCTTGCTGCCACACAAAGGATAAGGCCATCGGTGCCCGAGAAGGACAGATGCGTCTATCAGAAACTGAAAGAAACGTATGGAAAAATGTCACGTCAATAGCTGTAGCATAAGTGTGTATCGGACAGTCGGCATGTTGCCGGTGTTACAGGGATTTTGTCACAAATCCGGTGCAACTATGCTACGCCAGGCACTTTGAAGCTGAGCTGATGCCTCCTGTCACTACCTATCACCTCTGTGATGTAATTTGCGTTGCTCTGACCAGTTATTTGTTACGAGAAATTTTTGGAGATTCCTGGATTTTTCATACAATTGTTCCGTGCAGAAAGGTTGATTTTCCCGGTTTCCACAGTTCCACGTAAGTATTTGTGTACGGAAGTACTAGCTTCTTGAACTGAGTATCCAAGCTGAGGAACGACGCCACGTCTTCATTTTGTGGATCTTGCCTAAAAAGTAAGACTTGGAGGGGAAGTGAATCCCAGCAGCTGGACTAAAATAAACAAGAAACGAGTGGTACGGGATGCTTTAAAATGCCATATTCTCCTCGTGGCTACGAAGCAGACTTTGTCAAAATCTGCTTCAGGAGGATTCGTGAAAGCATGAAATTACAGCGATGCTGAGAAACCAGGAGAGAGGTACACTTTTTCATCACATCTTCTTTTGAAATCACCTTTTCGCATCAATTTGGATGCTCTCTTTCTGTCTCCCTCACGTACGTTGACATTTAAAATGCACAAATTCCCGGTAAAAGAACAATTTATTCAAAACCAGCAGGAGAACACTTCTTAAAATCGTCTCTTTGTAACAGAACAACTTTTGAAACGTGTCTAATAATAAAAGAATTCGAGTGTAGGAAAAGAGCGAAAAAGCCTAATTCGATACCGGGCCATAAAGATGTAAACCCTCCCCGCGAGTAAAAAACATGCAGAAAGTTGAATTTCCGGAAAAAAGGGAAGGTGGTGAATCGACTGAAACAGGGCGTCAAGCATGTAGTGTTACACGTACAACTCGTAGACGCATACACACACCTCAGTGAGCAAGCAATACAAACGAATACAAAATAGAGAGCTTAGAAAACATAACACGATTAGTTACGACAAAAAAAGCTAAGAGACGACAGGGGCTAAAGAATACCCAGAAAACTTCAGAGATGTGCTAAACAATATTCAGAAGACCTCAGTTAGGTAACAAACAGTGTGCAAAGAATTTTAAATGGGCACTCAGACTCCGAGTAACTTGGATAGGTGCTAAATAATGATCAAAAAAAAAAAAATTCAGATAAGCACAAAAAATATTCAAAAAAACCGAAAAAAAGTAACCGCCCAATTCCACAAACCAATAAAAGTGGCACCCCCGAGAACCGAATGATTTAACGTCTTTTTATTAAACTTCATCCCCATTTTTTTTTTGTCTTTATACTGATTTTAACAATATGATAGTTGTGAGCAGCACCGACCATCCTTCCACTCATTCATGCAACAATCCGAAGGCCCCTCATTTTTCGTCCTTGTTCGGCATATTCTTGAACCCAAGTATTGCTTCTTCGCCGCATGCCGAAACCACTAGACACTGCAAAACGAGTACTGGTTTCTCTTAGAATAAACATCAATCCCCAATCAGTGAAGAACCTACCGTCGTCCACAAGTAGCAAAGTCTGCGACGAGGCCGTGACACTCAACACATATCACGGAAATCCCGAAACGACTAAGCGCCTCTGTCAGAACTGCTAATTGCTGGTATTTTCTCTCAGACGACCAAAAGGATGTCAGGACTTGACCAACTGGTGGCACGGCACAAATCAAAGCAACTGCAAGAAATCGCAAGCCCAACACGTACTGAATATGTACAACAACACTGCCCGGACTGTCAGCAGCGCGCAATTTGATCAACACCGTCTACTACAGATCCGGTCCATATAACCCTACCTGGAGCTACAAGTCTCCATTTTATAAGCACTGTCTGCCCCACTGGCGAATACCAAAAAAAAGAAATTTAAAGGTTCAAAAGAAAGATACCAATATGCCATTTTCGTCTTTTTCGAATGCCTGCTTAATTTGTTCGCCCAGTTCACCTTCTGCTAGCTTCAGGTCATCTTTTGTTTCACACGTATCCAGATCCATCAAGCTGACGTAACCATCGTCGTTTATGGAGAGGAGCTAGAACGTATCTGTGATTAGACCTCATCCAGAAATCAGTTAATTCTGTGAGCTTGAGCAGCGAAAGAGATAATCCCAAAGTGAAATTTAACTAAGAACCCCAAAGCCATTTATCCCTGGTCTTGCATTTTGCTATAAACGGGAACTTCGACGTCCGACAGTGTTCGAACTTTATAAAACGCTGATAATTGGAAAAGAGAAGTATGCTGGTCACATTTAATGCACAGGAGGTATTCGTACGGCTCAATTCTGGCATTCTGTCAGCAAGAACAACCATTACTTTGGCAAACTGTCGAAGGTTCCCCATCAACCCCCTAGCACCAATTAATACCGAAACAAATGGGAGCGGCGAGTGGCTGAAAGATTCACAGGTTCCATCCAGCAGCAGAGGGGTGCTGGTTGCTGAAATGCATCAGATCAGCCGATCTGTTATTACACGGGGAATTAATTCATATGAAAACCTGGTATTCTTTGCGCTTAACAACTGGGACATCCATATTGTGAGTGGACGGGCAGATATCTTCGAGTTTTTTGCCCGTGAAAATATCCAGACCAACAAGATGGACCTTAGCATGCCCATGCTTACCGGTCTTTGAAGTGCTCATTTCGACTACCTGAAATCAAATCACGCCTATTCACTGAAACGATCGAGCTGAATCCAGACAGCAAAGAAACATTAGCCACCTCACTGAAACACTGCGTTTTTTTTACTGAACAATCATCCCCTTCACGAAACTGATCCCCTCCCTCACCTTCCCGTCCGCATCTTTTCCCTCCCATCCCTCCAAGCACCTGCTGCAACAATTTCACAATTCCACTTAAAGCAAGAAAGCAGATCAACCCTTTCCACCTCTGTTAAGGCAAAAATGACCCCTTCACTGCTCCGTTTAACCTATACTGCTGTAATCCCACATAACGCTGAGAGCAGGCTATGAGCAGGCTTCAAAGAGCAGCTGTTCATCCGTTACCAATCAGCAAAAGTGCTTCCCCACCCTCTCTTCTTGCAACCACTGCACAATTCCCCGTGGAATCTGACGGAAGGCCAGCCTCCCCCTTCCAAGTGCGTAAGAAGACTTACCTTGCAAGGACGTCCTTTCAGCATGACGTGCTCATTCTTGCGAAGTGCCGAGCACTGTTTCGGGAATGTGGCTGCGGCACCCGAGTCACCGGTGTGGAAGTCGTGGTCGTGCTCGTGCTCAGCCATTATTCCCTCAACAACGACGGTACTGTAAAAAAAAAAAAGAAAAAACACTGAATTGTACTGCCGAGAAAACCCTGTTAAATAAGCCAACAGTTCGCACAATGAAATTTACAGCTATGCAAATTCTTGTACGCAGCATCACGTACACGTAAAATTTTTGCAATTATGTAGATTTTAGCAAGAAAAATAAGTAAGCAAGCGTGCGTGCGTGAGGGTCATGCAAAATTTGCACCTCATGGGCTGATGAGCGATGATCAGTTCAGGCCTTGACTTAAGAGTGCCCCAAAAGCTTTTTATGATATGCAAGCAGCCAGATCCAAGAAATTCTTCCAGCTGTTCATGTACAAAATCCTCTTTTGCAGCACGTACGCATGCGATCTCTTCGGAGGACGCCCGAACGGTTGTTCGCCTTTATTCCCTTGACTACCACACGGCTGTCAACTGCAGACGTGGGAATGCCTGTTACAGCTCGTTCCCTCTTATGCCCGTGTTATGTAGCAATGCCGGTGCCGAGGAGTGCGTTTGTTCGGAGAAACGCGCCAAGAATCGTTCTTCTTTCACAGCCAGCGATCGCTTTTCAACTTTCATAAGTTACCACATTTTGCATGTTACGTTTCAACGTACTGATATTGAAATTAAAACGTCACAAACGACATACAATCAAAAAACCGAAGGATCGGCAACGTAAAAGTGGGTGGTACTCGGTGTCAATCAAAATGACAGTACTTTTTCCTCAACACCAACCCTACACATGATGGCGGAACCTGCTTCAAGAATTACTTTCAAAATGACCAGACCCTTACCACAGAACGAACGAACCGTAGGGGGACAAGCCATCTCGCCCGTACAATCGGCTCGAGCCTAGATGGCCGTAAGTTGGAGAGTTGAAAAAAATGCGAAAAAAAAAAAATTACGAAAAGCAATGGGCCCTCCACAGTGAGCGATCGATTGCATATGCGCAAATACAACAGACCAAAATGATTCACTGGCCTTTTGGAATGCAGAAGCGGCCGCGGGGGGAGGGGGGTCTCCGTGCGAGATTGGTTGCGCCAACTGCTGGCACTGGTACTTGTCCCGGCTACCGGCTGCCATCGAACTCAGAAGGCGTATGCCCAAACACGTCACACAAGTCTGCTGGAGCCAATTAGCAAGGACGCCAAGAGAGTCCGGGCCAGCAGGCGGCCAGCCGCTCGAAGCAGTGAATGAACGACCACCACTGGCCAAGAGCAACTGGAAACCTGAGCAGCAAACCACAGCAGATGAAAGCGCACGGGAAAAACTCCCTCGGCCCCGTGCACACGCATCAAAAGCGCATCCGGCCTGACGCTCCAAACAACTGCCCGAGGAAGCGCGCCGACAGTCTCGGCTATCCGCAATGCTCAGTTCCACAGAACTCGGAAATACCGACGTGCAGGGCGGGCGGGCGGGGGGGTGGCAACATTGATCGGGCTGGTGAATCAAAAAAAGACACTGCGCAGTCAGCGGAGAGACAAAGAAAAAGAGAACAAAGTACCAACTGACAGCGAAGCGTGCAGTAGGAGTTGCCGGGAGATGCGCGGTGTGCGGACACGTCCGGAGAAGAGCGATTCAGGAACACGCCGTCTCTGCGCACTGCTGCCCAGTTTGCATGAATCGCCCACAACGCAGCACCGCACCGGCACCAGAACGATCCTAGCCTCAGCAGCACTACCGTACCCCCCCACGGCCGCGTTGCGGGTAGTCCATGCGCAGCGGCAACAGGTGCTCAGGTGCGGAAAGCGCGCAGTTCAAATGAAGGAAATTGAAAGTCAGCGGAAAATTCAGGCACCGTCGCGAATATCCCTGAAAAATTAACAAAACCTGGAAAATGTGTGATACTTTTGGCGCCATAT